TTCGTGAGTATCAAAAAAAAAAAAAAAAGTGTCATCTAGTCTTTTTGTTTGATTTTTTTCGGTTATTACCGTTTTGATTGAAGGGGCCGAATTTCTCTTCTTTTTTGGGTCGAAATTTTCGAAATTCTTTTTCGAATTTTTCATTTATTTTTTCGATTTTTTTTTAGAGTCTTAAAAAAAATGTCTTATGAGCCAATGGACGAGATGGATTGGGAAGATCTCGAGTTATTGGAGAGTTAGGAGAGAGAACTTACCCCATGGGAGAGCACATATCTAGACAAGCTCCATGAACGAAGAAACCGAGAAGAATACGAGCGACAACTCGTAGAAGGACGAGGAGCAATGGTGGGTGAAGTTCTAAACCGTGAAGATGATGGAGCGCTTAATTTTTTAATCCTTGAGGACAAGGAATGTCTTGAAGAGGAGGGGAATGATACGGAAGTGGTCATCAACCCTGGCGAGTCCGACGAGGAGGAGGACGATGGTCTCGATATTTGGTTGGAGAACATGTTGGAGGAGCCATCAAGCCCGATTTATCGATCATCATGCAAGAGGGACTGGCCGATGGGATGTGGTCCACGGGCTAAATTGAAGGTCAAGAAGCGCCGAGCCAAAAGACGACGCAAAACAAAGGCACAAAAGGCGAGCCAATGTTGTGGGCCGTGCACGAGGAAGAAATGGGCGTGGCATTCAGAGTTCGAAAGACGGGGAAGGCTGGGAATGAAGGATGACTGGATATGGCGTGCAGGTGACTGCATTGGGTTAGATGGTTGGGACCCATGGCCATCAGGAGAACCATCGGAGTCAAGGGACAAAGGGATCGGTGAGGACCGGCTATCGGGCGTATGGCGTGCATCGGGCGGTGATGAGCGCAAGAGGTCGAAGGGCCGTGGCGCTGAACGGAGAAGAAGCACTGAGGGGTTGGACGCAAGTGACGCGCGATCATGCGCAGGAGGTAGGCAAGCCGCGGGGGTCGACACGCGTGGAACTGCGGGTGTGCGAGGGTGCGCGATAGGCGATCGGGACACGGGTGTCGATACGTGCGAGCGGGCAGGCGAGCGCGAGAAGGATGCGGGAGCATCGAGCGTGGGCAGCAACCGTGCAATTGACGAGGACGCGCGCGAATAGGCCGACAGCGAGGGCACGCAGGCAGGGGCACGCGAGTGGGACGCACATGCGCGAGGCCTAAACCTTGCGGGTTTAGGAGTGCCGGGCGAGGACGGGCACGCGCGGGGAGAAGTTGGCGACCAGCAGGGATGCGCGAAGGATGACGCGTGCACGGACGGACAAGGCCCAGTCCGCGCGGGACTAGGAGAAGCTGGGGCGGCGTACGGGGCGCGCGCGCGATGCCGCGCGCGACGAGGATTAGGCAACGCGTGCGACGCGTGAAGAATAGGGCGGCCGAATTACTTGGGGCGTATGGATGGATTTGTTTGGAGTGCAAGCCAAGCAAAATCAAG